ACGACCAAAGGAAATGAGAAATTTACTATCAGAAGTCTTACCTCGATTGTTGTTTCTCAGACGATTTTTAAGTATCTTATTTTTATGTTCTGAAATTTGTTGTTGAATGCTACAAGCATAATAAACATAATACATAAAATTACTATTTTAATCATAATATAAAAATATTTAGCAAACATATGAAATTTTAAAGCTTTTCAGACAATATCAGAGCTAATATCAGCGGCGTGTCTTGCCCTCCCGCTGCCCTGTCGGGGATCCCTGAGTTCCAGGTCCGCCCGGTGAGAGACTACACACAGGGCAGGGCTGTGCTGTCATTCTTTCCCGAGCATCTCGGGGACCCGGGAGCCCGCCCAGGGCCCGGGACGTGGACGGTCTACTGCGCGTGCGCGGGTCTGCAGGCAGCCCGCTGCGCTTCGCGGGACCAGCCCAGGCAGAGAGCTCTGACCCCTCCTCGCAGCCCTGCCCCCCACGCCGGAGGGTGGGCAGAGGGGGCGTTTTGCCCCCGAAACACCGGGCCGGGTCCCCGGGCGGGCCCGCTCTCCGTTCCGCGGCACGCCTCTTCTTCTGCCTCCCCGCTCCGCCCACCGATCACCCGCACGCACACCGCACACCGGAGCCCCGCCGGCCTGCCCGCCGGCACCGAGGCCAGCACCGAGCAGCGCCTGGCAGCTCGATGCACAGCCCAGAACACACACACACACCACGCGAGCCCGCGCGCGCACACACAGACACACACAGACACGCACGCACGCACGCGCGCACACACACACAGACACGCGCGCGCGCGCGCGCACACACACACACACACACACACACACACCCCAACCCCCCGTACCCCGCGGGCAAACGGAAGGGCCGCTTTCTCCAGGCGGGAGGGAAGGCGGGTAGAGACCCGGCGACGATCCCGGACACTGAGGGAGGGACGAGTGAAGGGAGGAAAGGACGGAAGGGAGAGGGCGAGGACGGGACGGAGGTGGGGACGGAGGGTGGCAGGTAGGGTGGGACCCAGCACCTAGGTCGCGTGACACTGTCCTCCTGCCTTGGCACTCTCTGCTTGGGGCTTTGGGACATACGTCTGTGCTGGTAACTAAGATGCTGTGATTCTCTTGTCTTGCCTCATATCTGCTCACATAGGAGCCAATCACATACTGCTGGGCCCAGTATCAAGTTCCATTCATTTTCTGTCATGACCCTCTGTCTCTGGGAGCTCAGCCACTCCAAATGATTGTCTTGTTATACCTGCTCTTTGCCCACAGGAGAGGATGTGACATTGCTCTGGGCCCAGCACCCAGGTGCGGTCACTCTGCTCTCCCGACGGGGCTATGCTTACAAGAGAAAGAGTGACTGATCGCTGGGCCCAGCACACAGGTGATGCGATTTGATTTGATTGTCTGGATTCTTGCCCGCGGGCATGATCCTGACCTCCCTTTGGCCTCTTCTGCCAGACAATGTGGGTCTCAACGGTCCCTGGGGTTTCCGGCTGGAGAGGGCGGGCTACCCCCGCCCTTGGTCCCCCGGAGCTGAGGCATACTGAGGAAGGGGCGGGGGCGCTGGGTCTCTATATAAGAGCGGCCGCTGGCTGGCGGCGGCCGGACTCCTGGCTCGACCTGCCAGCGGCGCGGTGCAGGTGCAGCTGCAGTGCAGGGCTTGGCTGAGGCGCGCTCGCGAGCCGGCCGGCCCCCGCGTGCCTGCGTCTGCCTGTGACGCTCGGGCCCGGTCTCCCCGCGATGGCTCTCCCCACGGCTCCCGGCAGCCCTCTCCCCGCGGTCGCCCGAGGGCGAGGACGGCGAAAGAGGCTCGTTTGGACCCCGAGCCAAAGCGATGCCCTGCGAGCGTCCTTTGAGCGGAACCCGTACCCGGGCATGGCCACCAGAGAACAGCTGGCCCAGGCCATCGGCATTCCGGAGCCCAGGGTCCAGATCTGGTTTCAGAATGAGAGATCGCGCCGCCTCAGGCAGCACCGGCGGGAATCCAGGCCCTGGCCGGGGCCACGCGGCCCCCAAGAAGGCCGGCGAAAGCGGACCGCCATCACCCCAGCGCAGAGCGCCGTGCTCCTCCGAGCCTTCGAGCAAGAGCGCTTTCCGGACTTCGCCACCAGGGAGGAACTGGCCAGAGAGACGGGCCTCCCGGAGTCCAGGATTCAGATCTGGTTTCAGAATAGCAGGGCCAGACGTCCAGACCGAGCCGGCGGGGGACCCGCGCCCGCAGGCGGCCTGTGCAACGCGGCCCCCGGCGGGCGCCGCTCTCCTGGCTCCCGGGTCGCCCCCACCCACACCGGGGCGTGGGGGGCGGCGCTTCCCGCACCCCACGTGCCCCTTGCGCCTGGGGCTCTCCCACAGGGCCCCGTCGCGAGCCAGGCAGCAGGGGCCGTGCCCCTGCTCTGGCAAGGGCAGGCCGCACAGGCGGAAGGAACCTGGCAACCTGCCCCGGCACTCGGGGCTTTCGGGTTCGCCGCCCTGGCTCCCGGGGAAGCGGCGCTCCCCCACCCTCAGAGCCTTGGGGGCCCTCCGCACCCGAGCGGATGCCAGGAGGAGCGGGACCGGCAGCACGCCGGCCTGCCCGGGACGTGCCCCGTGGGACAGCTTGCGCCCGCTCCAGCCGACTCCCGGGGGCAAGGGGCGCTCGTGCCACACGGGGCCCACCAGGGTCCTTGGTGGGGCTGGGGCCAGGGGCCCCAGGTGGCCTGGGCGACGGGGCAACCCCAAGCCGGGCCACCTCCACCTCCACCTCCACCTCCGCAGCCCGAACCTCCGGAGGCCTCCGCCTGGCAGGGGCACATGCCAGGGCTGCAGGCGCCTTCCCAGGCGCCCCAGGAGCCGGAGGAGCGCTCGTCTGCGCTCACCTCCAGCCTGCTGGATGAGCTCCTGTCGACCCCAGACTTTGAGCAAAGGGCGCGACCTTTCCTAGAGACCGAGCCACCGGCGGAGCTGAGGGAGGTGGAAGAGCTCGCTTCGCTGGAACCGCCCCTCAGCGAGGAAGAATACCGGGCGCTGCTGGAGGAGCTTTAGAAGGCTCCTCCCACAGGGCTCCGTCACGAGTTCAATTGATTCTCCTGCCTTAGCCTCCCGAGTAGCTGGGATTACAGGCGCCAGCCATCCTGCCTCACTGATTTTTTATTTTTATAAGAGATAGAGTTTTGCCACGTTAGCCAGGTTGGTCTCAAGCTCCTGACCTCAGCAGGTCCACCCGCCTTGGTATACCAAAGTGCTTGAGTCATAGCTGTGAGCCACCGTGGCTTGCCTGTAATACTGCCTTTTAACATCTATAAGACGACCAAAGGAAATGAGAAATTTACTATCAGAAGTCTTACCTCGATTGTTGTTTCTCAGACGATTTTTAAGTATCTTATTTTTATGTTCTGAAATTTGTTGTTGAATGCTACAAGCATAATAAACATAATACATAAAATTACTATTTTAATCATAATATAAAAATATTTAGCAAACATATGAAATTTTAAAGCTTTTCAGACAATATCAGAGCTAATATCAGCGGCGTGTCTTGCCCTCCCGCTGCCCTGTCGGGGATCCCTGAGTTCCAGGTCCGCCCGGTGAGAGACTACACACAGGGCAGGGCTGTGCTGTCATTCTTTCCCGAGCATCTCGGGGACCCGGGAGCCCGCCCAGGGCCCGGGACGTGGACGGTCTACTGCGCGTGCGCGGGTCTGCAGGCAGCCCGCTGCGCTTCGCGGGACCAGCCCAGGCAGAGAGCTCTGACCCCTCCTCGCAGCCCTGCCCCCCACGCCGGAGGGTGGGCAGAGGGGGCGTTTTGCCCCCGAAACACCGGGCCGGGTCCCCGGGCGGGCCCGCTCTCCGTTCCGCGGCACGCCTCTTCTTCTGCCTCCCCGCTCCGCCCACCGATCACCCGCACGCACACCGCACACCGGAGCCCCGCCGGCCTGCCCGCCGGCACCGAGGCCAGCACCGAGCAGCGCCTGGCAGCTCGATGCACAGCCCAGAACACACACACACACCACGCGAGCCCGCGCGCGCACACACAGACACACACAGACACGCACGCACGCACGCGCGCACACACACACAGACACGCGCGCGCGCGCGCACACACACACACACACACACACACACACCCCAACCCCCCGTACCCCGCGGGCAAACGGAAGGGCCGCTTTCTCCAGGCGGGAGGGAAGGCGGGTAGAGACCCGGCGACGATCCCGGACACTGAGGGAGGGACGAGTGAAGGGAGGAAAGGACGGAAGGGAGAGGGCGAGGACGGGACGGAGGTGGGGACGGAGGGTGGCAGGTAGGGTGGGACCCAGCACCTAGGTCGCGTGACACTGTCCTCCTGCCTTGGCACTCTCTGCTTGGGGCTTTGGGACATACGTCTGTGCTGGTAACTAAGATGCTGTGATTCTCTTGTCTTGCCTCATATCTGCTCACATAGGAGCCAATCACATACTGCTGGGCCCAGTATCAAGTTCCATTCATTTTCTGTCATGACCCTCTGTCTCTGGGAGCTCAGCCACTCCAAATGATTGTCTTGTTATACCTGCTCTTTGCCCACAGGAGAGGATGTGACATTGCTCTGGGCCCAGCACCCAGGTGCGGTCACTCTGCTCTCCCGACGGGGCTATGCTTACAAGAGAAAGAGTGACTGATCGCTGGGCCCAGCACACAGGTGATGCGATTTGATTTGATTGTCTGGATTCTTGCCCGCGGGCATGATCCTGACCTCCCTTTGGCCTCTTCTGCCAGACAATGTGGGTCTCAACGGTCCCTGGGGTTTCCGGCTGGAGAGGGCGGGCTACCCCCGCCCTTGGTCCCCCGGAGCTGAGGCATACTGAGGAAGGGGCGGGGGCGCTGGGTCTCTATATAAGAGCGGCCGCTGGCTGGCGGCGGCCGGACTCCTGGCTCGACCTGCCAGCGGCGCGGTGCAGGTGCAGCTGCAGTGCAGGGCTTGGCTGAGGCGCGCTCGCGAGCCGGCCGGCCCCCGCGTGCCTGCGTCTGCCTGTGACGCTCGGGCCCGGTCTCCCCGCGATGGCTCTCCCCACGGCTCCCGGCAGCCCTCTCCCCGCGGTCGCCCGAGGGCGAGGACGGCGAAAGAGGCTCGTTTGGACCCCGAGCCAAAGCGATGCCCTGCGAGCGTCCTTTGAGCGGAACCCGTACCCGGGCATGGCCACCAGAGAACAGCTGGCCCAGGCCATCGGCATTCCGGAGCCCAGGGTCCAGATCTGGTTTCAGAATGAGAGATCGCGCCGCCTCAGGCAGCACCGGCGGGAATCCAGGCCCTGGCCGGGGCCACGCGGCCCCCAAGAAGGCCGGCGAAAGCGGACCGCCATCACCCCAGCGCAGAGCGCCGTGCTCCTCCGAGCCTTCGAGCAAGAGCGCTTTCCGGACTTCGCCACCAGGGAGGAACTGGCCAGAGAGACGGGCCTCCCGGAGTCCAGGATTCAGATCTGGTTTCAGAATAGCAGGGCCAGACGTCCAGACCGAGCCGGCGGGGGACCCGCGCCCGCAGGCGGCCTGTGCAACGCGGCCCCCGGCGGGCGCCGCTCTCCTGGCTCCCGGGTCGCCCCCACCCACACCGGGGCGTGGGGGGCGGCGCTTCCCGCACCCCACGTGCCCCTTGCGCCTGGGGCTCTCCCACAGGGCCCCGTCGCGAGCCAGGCAGCAGGGGCCGTGCCCCTGCTCTGGCAAGGGCAGGCCGCACAGGCGGAAGGAAACCTGGCAACATGAAAACAGGCATCGGGGCTTTCGGGTCGTCAGCCTGGCCTCTTTTTGTTGTCGCCTTTTTTTTTTTTTCTTTTTTTTTTGCTTTTTTTTTTCCCTTCTTTTCTTTTCTTTATCTTTTTTTTTTTTTTTTTTGGTCTTTTTTGTTTTTTTTACCCCTTATTACCCCTTTCTCCTCTTTTCTTCTGTTCTCTCTTTTTTTCTCCTTTTCTTTTTTTGTTCCTTTTTCTTTTTTTATCCTCTTTTTTTTTCTTTGCCCCCTCTTTTTTCTCTTTGCCTCTTTCCCACTTTCTCTTTTTTTCGTTCACCTTTGTCTTTTTGTTTCTTTTTCCCTTTCCTCTTTGTTTCCTTTTTTTTTGACCGGGGAAGCGGCCGCTCCCCCACCCTCATAGAGCCTTGGGGGACCCTCCGCACCCGAGCGGATGCCAGGAGGAGCGGGACCTGGACAGAACGCCGCCCTGCCGCGGACGCCTGCCCCGTGGGAAGCTTGCGCCCCGCCTCCAGCCGCCCTCCAGGGGCCAAGGGGGTCTGATCGTGACAACCACCGGGCCCACCAGAAGTCCTTGGTGGGGATGGGGCCAGGGGGCCCCCCAGGTTTGGGGCCTGGGCGAGAGGGGCAACCCCAAGCCGGGCCACCTACACCTCCACCTCCACCTCCGCAAGCCCGAACCTCAGGAGCCTCCGCTGGCAGAGGGCACATGCCAGCGGCTCCAGGCGCCTTCCCAGGCGACCCCAGGAGCCGGAGGAAGCGCCCCCCCTCATCTGACGCCCTCACCTCCAGCCTGACTGCGATGAGCTCCTGTCGACCCCAGACTTTGATCGCAAATAGGTGCCGACTTTCCTAGAGACCGAGCACCGGCGCGAGCTGAGGGAGGTGAAGAGCTCGCTCGCTGGAACCGCCCCTCAGCGAGTGAACGAATACCGGGCGCTGCTGGAGGAGCTTTAGAAGGACGCGCCCGCGCGCCCGCCCGACGGGCGGCCGGGGAGGCGCCGGGGGCGTGGGGGCAGGGAGGTGGCCGCCTCGCCGGCTCGACGACCTTCACATCGGCCGCGTCTTGCCCTCCGCGCCGTCGGGGATCCCTGAGTT